GAAATGCAAAGATACAGAATGGGGGACAATGCCTGGCTCGAGAGCAGTACGTGTGAAAAAGATCTTGGAGTCCTCGTGGAAAACAAGTTAAACATGAGCCTCTAGAATTCCATGTTCAGCAGCAGAACTCTCTGCCCTGGAGTGTGGTGGAGGCTCCTTCTTTGGAGGTTTTTAAGCAGAGGCTGGGTGGCCATCTGTCGGGAGTGCTTTGAATGCGATTTTCCTGCTTCTTGGCATAATGGGATTGGACTGGATGGCCCACGAGGTATCTTCCAACTCTAGGATTCTATGATTCTATGATAATTTCCCCACAAGTAAGATGTTCCCAACAAAAATTTCCTCCATTGATATCCCTCTGTCTTCACTCTGTTCTTGGGAATGGAAAATTCACTTAATCATAGTTGCTCTTCTGCATAAATTCAGTTCAAAATGGTTCCCAATGACAACAAAAACCTAAAATATAATTATGTCAAGAGTCCATCACTACCCATTTTACTTCCACATAAAGAACAATCTAATGAACAGCTGTATAATAAAATATGTAATAAAATGGCATGAACACCCTGCATGCAAGGAAGCAAAAAAACCAATGCTTGCCTAAGGCAGCAATATAATTTAAGCTGGCCCTGATGAAAACTGGTGCTAAACCTTGAGAACGCACAACAAATGACTCCTCCAGACTAAATGGTTTTGGGGGAGGGAGGGAATGGGCATTGCATTTGCTCCCTGAAGGACGGAGACTCACCACTCCCTTCTCGCAGGCAGTTAAGCAATTAAGAAGCATTGCTCTGCCTCTCAAAGTCCTGCTTAGCAGAAAAGGAGTAATGAAAACCATCAACACTCTTCCATTATTGAGTACATTACGCTGGCGTGTAAAGGATCCTCCCGAGGGCTCCTTGGTACTTAAGCCACTCCAAGTCCCACTCGGGGGGATTCAAATCATACGGATTTGATTACCACTTCACTGGAAAGGACTAATTTGCCGGGGCTTAGCATCGTTGCGTCATTTATCACAAATTAGAAAAGAAACACTAAACTGACTGCCACTTCCCTTGTCCTGAAAATGTGACAGAGGGACTTTTGTATTGAGTCCAAAGGGAGAGAAAGAGAACTCACGGAGAATTCCACTGACATAAGAGAATAAGTTTTTATTGTTTTTAACGTCCCTGGCAAGCCTGAGTACGGACCTTTTCCCTACAGGAGTTCGCTATTTGTGTGAATTCTTCTTTGGTGATTTCTACCTTTTTCCACTTCTTGTGCATGTCTCTTTTGTGTCTTAGCACAGTTAGAAGTTCTTTGGACAGCCATTCTGGCTTCTTAGCACTTGTCCTATTTTTTCTCTTTAAGCCTCCAAAAATTGCCCTGATGCTATCAAACAGAGAGAGAAAAATACACTCAAGAAGGATGGGGAGTAAGACAGGTAATTTTCCTTTAATTAAATCTATCTTGCATTTGCACTGCCTTCTCTTGTTTTGTGTAACACCCACTCATATGACCCTGCTGCTCTTTCAAGCAATGTCTGTGGCAGAAACTGTCACTCAGCCTGCTTATGTATTTACTAGGCATGGTTAGGTTTGGTCGGAATCTTCATAATTCGGAATAAATTCGGAACAATTTGCTTTTTGAAGCGATTTTGAAGTTTTTAAGGAAACCAGAAGTCCCTTTGCCTTCTGAAGCTTTTTCCGCCATTTCTGTTACAAAGCAGTAAGCAAGTCAGAAAGGATTCAGCATTTCCCCGCTTTTGGTCCCCGGTCTCAGCTCAAGCCAGAGAAGCCGTTTTAAAACAGAGTGGATGAATTTCCTCCCTCTCCTCTCCCCTTGCTTCTGTCTCAAGCCTGGGAATCGTTTTAAACCAGAGTGGATTAATTTCCTCCCTCTCCTCTCCCCCTCTGTCTCGAGCCTGGGGAAGTGTTTTAAACCAGAGTGGATGAATTTCCTCCTTCTCCTCTCTCCTCGCTTCTGTCTTGAGCCTGGGAAGCGTTTTAAACCAGAGTGGATGAATTTCCTCCCCCTTCTCTCCCCTCGCTTTTGTCGCAAGCCTGGAAAGCATTTTAAACCAGAGTGGATGAATTTCCTCCCTCTCCTCTCCCCTCGCTTCTGTCTCTGGGAAGCGTTTTAAACAGTGGATGAATTTCCTCCTCTCTCCCCTCGCTTCTGTCTCAAGTCTGGGAAGCGTTTTAAAACAGAGTGAATGAATTTCCTCCCTCTCCTCTCCCCTCGCTTCTGTCTCAGGCCTGGGAAGCGTTTCAAACCAAAGTGGATGAATTTCCTCCCCTCTTCTCCCCTCGCTTCTGTCTCAAGCCTGGGAAGCGTTTTAAACCAGAGTGGATGAATTTCCTCCCTCTCCTCTCCCCTCGCTTCTGTCTCGAGCCTGGGAAGCGTTTTAAACCAGAGTGGATGAATTTCCTCCCTTTGCTCCCCCCCCTGCTTCTGGAGTAAAACAACTACTTTCAAAGTAAAGACCACCCAATGAAACAGGAAATAACACTTTCAAACCATTAAGGAAGGATTCAGAAGTCTCGGAAGTTTCGAAAAGTTTTGAACATTTTTTTCTGTGAAAATCGGAATCAACTTTAGAATCTAACCACCAGGACCCCTACACCCGAAATGAGTTTTGAACCATTTTTTTATCATACAAGCCTAGAATTTACGTATTTTCCTGCATTATGCAGTAAGAGCAGCTAAAGATTCAGAGAGAGAGAGCTTCTGTTCAAGCATTTCAAAGCTCTGTTGGAGTGGTGATGGCACAGTCGTCAGCATAGATTAAACTCTCTGTCCCTTATGGCAGTGGCTGATCAGTTATGTAAATGTAAAACATTGATGGTGCCAGCATGCTCCCCTGAGGCAGGCCGTTCTTCTGTTTTTGCCATCTGCTTCTCTGGCCCTGAAACTCAACAAAAAAGTTCCTGTTTTGTAGCAGATTTCCTATGAAGTGAGTGAGGTGGTAGTCCTTTGATATATACATTTTTCTCAAGAGAAGGCGATGGTTACAGTATTGTACAGTATATGGTTTACAGTATTGTATGCTGACAGGTCTATGAAGACAACTTCTGTAATATACTGCCTTTCAAAATCAAGATGAAATGCTAGGCAAACCTTCTGGCAAACAAACTAGTCCAATGTGGGCTAGGCAAAACTACGGTGAGGTGGACCTGTAATTGGTTAAATGCACGAACCCAGAGGGTGCTCACCAATGCTTCCTCTTCATCTTGGAAAGATAATCTGGTTTCTCTTCAGATCGTATAATCTTGGAAAGAAGTGACGAGTGGAGTGCCGCAGGGTTCCCTCCTGGGCCCGGTCCTGTTCAACATCTTTATTAATGACTTAGATGAAGGGTTAGAAGGCATGATCATCAAGTTTGCAGACGACAACACCAAATTGGGAGGGATAGCCAATACTCCAGAGGACAGGAGCAGGATTCAAAACGATCTTGACAGATTAGAGAGATGGGCCAAAACAAAACAAAATGAAGTTCAACAGGGACAAATGCAAGATACTCCACTTTGGCAGGAAAAACGAAATGCAAAGATACAGAATGGGGGACAATGCCTGGCTCGAGAGCAGTACGTGTGAAAAAGATCTTGGAGTCCTCGTGGACAACAAGTTAAACATGAGCCAACAATGTGATGTGGTGGCAAAAAAAGCCAATGGGATTTTGGCCTGCATCAATAGGAGCATAGTGTCTAGATCTAGGGAAGTAATGCTACCCCTCTATTCCGCTTTGGTTAGACCACACCTGGAATATTGTGTCCAATTCTGGGCACCACAATTCAAGAGAGATATTGACAAGCTGGAATGTGTCCAGAGGAGGGCGACTAAAATGATCAAGGGTCTGGAGAACAAGCCCTATGAGGAGCGGCTTAAGGAGCTGGGCATGTTTAGCCTGAAGAAGAGAAGAATGAGAGGAGATATGATAGCCATGTATAAATATGTGAGAGGAAGCCACAGGGAGGAGGGAGCAAGCTTGTTTTCTGCTTCCCTGGAGACTAGGACGCAATGGAGCAATGGCTTCAAAACACAAGAAAGGAGATTCCATCTGAACATGAGGAACTTCCTGACTGTGAAAGCCATTCAGCAGTGAACTTCCTGACTGTGAAAGCCGTTCAGCAGTGGAACTCTCCTCTTCCCCTCGCTTCTGTCTCGAGTCTGGAAAGCGTTTCAAACCAGAGTAGATGAATTTCCTCCCTCTCCTCTCCCCTGTAGTGGAGGTTCCTTCTTTGGAAGCTTTTAAACAGAGGTTGGATGGCCATCTGTCAGGGGTGATTTGAATGCAATATTCCTGCTTCTTGGCAGAATGGGGTTGGACTGGATGGCCCATGAGGTCTCTTCCGACTCTTTGATTCTCTGATTCTATGACAATCCCAAATGCAATGGGGTGGAGCAGATATCCCACAATATCACCTTCTTGGCTGCCAGAATATATCAAAACAGCCTACATCAGTTTAATAACCCCGAAAATGATACTATGGTGTATAAGAGGAAGGGACATTGGAATGCCCCCGAAAAGGATGCACCCTGCTTCGGCTCCCTACGCAAACCGCGATGGCACAAAAGACCCTTTCTGTCTCCACACCAGGTCAGAAACCAGACTGTCCAAATAATATGCATTATCTTAAGACCACCGGGAGCCAAAAAAGCCACCACTTTCTGAGCTGGGCAGACCAAAAATTCCACATCTCCAGACAAGGTTTATTTTCCTTTCTGATACTTAGTGAGCACCACATAATCCACACGCTGCCCTTCTAAGGCTGGATACTCGCCGCTACAAAAGGTTAAGATACCGGCTAAGCAATCCAACTGAGGAAATACAGAGAATTAATCCATAACTCTTGCCCGGGTCCAAAACACACTACTTCACATGATTTAATCTGACACTTGCAAGGGCGTGCGTATAAATTACACAGGGATCATTTACCGGTGCGTTCCCCCAAACCTCCATCTTCCACTCTTCAGGGGAGGAAAGTCAACTTTGGATGCATCAGAAAGAGTAAAGTATTTACCTCGTGGTTATGAGCAGCCTGCCGCGTGCCTTCTGAAACAATCAAAGAGAAAGGCACAAAATTAATTTTGAAATAAACATTTCATTTGCTGAGTTGCCTGAAGACACTCTACGTGCTCTTCTTTAGTTATACCATAAATTCATAACAGAACAGCAATTTAATATGATTCTTTAATGAGCAAATTTTATGTATTTCTTTATATCATATCCTGCTATGACTGGCAGAGACAAATGACGTTGCTCCATATCACATTCCTTTTCATAGAGACTGGAACAGATATCCAAGTTTGTTCCTATGGGTTTCCAGTGCAGAACATTCCTTTACTCATTGAAATTAAAGCAATACACACAGACATAAAGGGTCATGTTAGTTCACCTCAGTATGTGAGAGACCCTTCTCCCACAGAGACCTCTCACAGAGACCTCAGTGTGAGAAAGCTTCAGTGTGAGGTAGACCTCAGTGTTAGTTCACCTAGGTATGTGAGACCTCTCACTGAGCCCTCAGCGTGAGCAGCCCTCAGTGTGAGATAGGCCTCAGTGTTAGTTCACCTCAGTATGTGAGACCTCTCACAGAGCCCTCAGCGTGAGAAGCCCTCAGTGTGAGATAGGCCTCAGTGTTAGTTCACCTCAGTATATGAGAGGCCCTTCTCCCACAGAGACCTTTCACAGAGCTCTCAGCATGAGAAGGCCTCAGTGTTAGTTTATCTCAGTATGTGAGAGGCCCTTCTCCCACAGAGACCTCTCACAGAGCCCTCTGCGTGAGAAGGCCTCAGTATTAGTTTACCTCAGTATTAGAGAGGCCCTTCTCCCACAGAGACCTCTCATAGAGCCCTCAGTGTGAGAAGGCCTCAGTGTGAGATGGGCCCCAGTGTTAGTTCACCTCAGTATGTGAGATTTCCTTCTCCCACAGAGACCTCTCACAGAGCCCTCAGCGTGAGAAGGCCTCAGTGTGAGATAGGCCTCAGTGTTAGTTCACCTCAGTATGTGAGAGGCCCTTCTTTCACAGAGACCTCTCACAGAGCCCTCAGCGTGAGAAGGCCTCAGTGTGAGATAGGCTTCAGTGTTAGTTCACCTCAGTATATGAGAGGCCCTTCTCCCACAGAGACCTCTCACAGAGCCCTCAGTGTGAGAAGGCCTCAGTGTGAGATGGGCCTCAGTGGTAGTTCACCTCAGTATGTGAGATTTCCTTCTCCCACAGAGACCTCTCACAGAGCCCTCAGCGTGAGAAGGCCTCAGTGTGAGATAGGCTTCAGTGTTAGTTCACCTCAGTATATGAGAGGCCCTTCTCCCACAGAGACCTCTCACAGAGCCCTCAGTGTGAGAAGGCCTCAGTGTGAGATGGGCCTCAGTGGTAGTTCACCTCAGTATGTGAGATTTCCTTCTCCCACAGAGACCTCTCACAGAGCCCTCAGCGTGAGAAGGCCTCAGTGTGAGATAGGCTTCAGTGTTAGTTCACCTCAGTATATGAGAGGCCCTTCTCCCACAGAGACCTCTCACAGAGCCCTCAGTGTGAGATAGACCTCAGTGTTAGTTCACCTCAGTATATGAGAGGCCCTTCTCCCACAGAGACCTCTCACAGAGTCCTCAGTGTGAGAAGGCCTCACTGTTAGTTCACCTCAGTATGTGAGACCCATTCTCCCACAGAGACCTCTCACAGAGCCCTCAGCATGAGAAGGCCTCATTGTGAGATGGGCCTCATTGTTAGTTCACCTCAGTATGTGAGAGGCCCTTCTCCCACAGAGACCTCTCACAGAGCCCTCAGCATGAGAAGGCCTCAGTGTGAGATAGGCCTCAGTGTTAGTTCACCTCAGTATGTGAAAGGCCCTTCTTTCACAGAGACCTCTCACAGAGCCCTCAGTGTGAGAAGGCCTCAGTGTGAGATAGGCCTCAGTGTTAGTTCACCTCAGTATGTGAAAGGCCCTTCTCCCACAGAGACTTCTCACAGAGCCCTCAGTGTGAGAAGGCCTCAGTGTGAGATAGGCCTCAGTGTTAGTTCACCTCAGTATAGCAATGTGTGTGTAAAGAGAGGGAAGGTAGGGAAGAGAAAAAGAAGAGACAGAAAGGAAAGAAGAAAGAAAAGGAGGATAGATGCATGATGGAAAGCAAGGGATGAAGCAAAGAGATGGAGAAGATGCCTGTGAGTAGTCCTCACTATTTCCCCACCTCATAAAGCGGGCAAGAATGATGTAGGAAGGGGCCTTTACAACATGTATTCAATCCTCCTCTCTATTTCACAGTAGCTTCTAGTTGGAATCATAAAACTTCAAGGAGTCATCAGCTACTATCTATATAAATAAAAATGTAATGTTCGTTTGTGGGATTAACAGAACTCAAAAACCACTGGATAAATTGACACCAAATTTGGACACAAGACACCTAACAACCCAATGTATGTCCTTCACTCAAAAAATGAAAAACACAGCAGAAGGGACTTAAAAGCCCCAAAAAGCTAAATGACAAAATACAGAAAGAAGGGAAGAAAGAGGGAGGGAAGGGAGAAAGAAAGAAGAAAGGAAGAAAGAAAGAAAGAAAGAATGAAAGAAAGAAAGAAAGAAAGAAAGAAAGAAAGAAGAAAAGAAAGAAAGAAATGAAAAGAAAAGAAAGAAAGGGTGGAGGGAGGGAGGGAGGAAGAAAGAAGGAAAGGGAGAAGGAAGCATGGAAGTAAAGAGAGAAGAAGGAAAGAAAGAGGTAGAGAAGAAAGAAAGGAGAGAAGGAAAGAAAAAAGGGAAAGAAGGAAGGAAAGAGGGAGCGAAGGAAGGGGAAGATGTAGTGAAAGAGGGAGGGAAGGAAAGAGAGAAGGGAGAAAAAGGAAGGAAGGAAGGAAGGAAGGAAAGAAGGGAGGGAGGGAGGGAGGGAGGGAGGGAGGGAGGGAGGGAGGGAGGGAAGGAAGGAAGGAAGGAAGGAAGGAAGGAAGGAAGGAAGGAAGGAAGGAAGGAAGGAAGGAAGGAGAAGGAAGGAAGGAAGGGAGAGAAAGAGGGAAGGTTGGCCACAGCAAAGCATGGCGGGTACAGCTAGTAGAGACATATTTAGAACACTAGACTTTTTCTATGGTTTGAATTCCATCCTTCCAGAGTAAGGCTATGTGCCAAGGATTAATTCATTTAGATTAGATTTTTCAAGAGATCTTTCATTTATCCCACACCTGCTGTAAAACAGGTGAACTCCCTTGTACCATCCTTTTCCTCCTGCATTCCTACTGCTCACACGCCAGGAAACAGACAAGTCTTGGCTGTTCCTAGCTGTCCATTTGTTTGATGCTTGAAAAGTTGCTGACAATGAATAATACATCTAAACACATTGCAGATCTGCCATGGGAAAAGGAAAAACAAGAGTGGCAACCCATTTTTTAGGACCTGTAATAATAATAGTAATAATAATAATAATAATAATAATAATAATAATAATGTATTGTCGAAGGCTTTCATGGCGAATCACTGGGTTGTTGTAGGTTTTTTTCGGCTATATGGCCATGTTCTAGAGGCATTCTCTCCTGACATTTCGCCTGCATCTATGGCAAGCATTGTGCTGGTACAGCTGTACCAGAATCTCCATCTTGTTTTGACCTACAAAACCCTATACGGTTCTGGCCCAGTGTATCTGTCCGAACGCATCTCCTTCTATGTCCCTCCTCGGAGTTTAAGATCTTCTGGGGAGGCCCTGCTCTCAGCCCCACCTCTATCACAAGTGAGGTTGGTGGGGACGAGGAGCAGGGCCTTCTCGGTGGTGGCCCCTCACCTGTGGAATTCATTCCCCGGGGAAATCGACATCCCTCCTCTCTTTTAGAAGGAAATTAAAAACATGGATATGGGACCAGACTTTTGGATAATCTGGCAGATAGACAAAGGACAATGACGACTAGAATTGATAGGATTTGACAATGTGGAATGAATTTACGGATTCTGAGCTGGTGAACATTGAGCATTAGCTTGGTTTTATTGATTATGATGTATAATTGATTGTTTTAATTGTTTATAATTGCTGTTATATATGTTTTATCTTATTCTTGTGTTGGCATCTTATTGTTGTGTTGGCATTTTGCCTTTTGTAAGCCGCCCTGAATCCCCCCTTGGGGGTTGAGAAGGGCGGGGTAGAAAAGCGCGAAATAAATAAATAAATAAATAAATATATCTGTGGAATGACCAGGGTGAGACAAAGGACTCTTGTCTTCTGGCATTGCAGACTACTTCAACCAGAGACGTCAGCCATAGCAGAGCACCTGATGAACCAACATGGACACAGCATATTATTTGAGAACACAGAAATGCTGGACCACTCTAACAACCACCATGTCAGACTACACAGAGAAGCCATTGAAATCCACAAGCATGTGGACAATTTCAACAGAAAAGGAGGAAACCATGAAAATGAACAAAATCTGGCTACCAGTATTAAAAAAACTCTAAAATTACAACAGCACAACAACAGAGAGGAAACAAACAAGGACATCTAATCACCTCTCAACAAAAGATTGTTCCAGGCACTGCCAGGCAATCAAATGCTAATCAAGGTGGTCAGTTGAAACATTCACACCTAGCTCCAGCAGACAAGAGTCCTTTGTCCCACCCTGGTCATTCCACAGATATATAAACCCTTTTTTCCTAGTTCCAACAGACCTCACTACCTCTGAGGATGCTTGCCATAGATGCAGGCAAAACGTCAGGAGAGAATGCCTCTAGAACATGGCCATATGGCCCGAAAAAACCTACAACAACCCAATAATAAATAATAATAATAATAATAATAATAATAATAATAATAAGTGAGGATAAAATGGATTAGTCAAGAGTTCTGGGAGAGCTGTGTTACCTTTTGGATTCTTGTTGTAAAGGTCAATACCTTGTCTATGCGTTTTGCCTTTTTGTCGTGCTTGCGCTTTTCTGCTAAAGACCTTATACGCTTCAGTCTTCTGGTACTGCTCCAGTTCCCTCATATAACGCTCTTTATCTCTATCTGCTTCATCAAGGTAGCGCTGCAAATATAGAACAGATCAATGCTGTCAGCTTGTAAAGCAAATTACCATATATAATCGAGTATAAGCCGACCCGAATATAAGCTGATGAACCTAATTTTACCACAAAAAACTGGAAAAACGTATTGACTCGAGTATAAGCCGAGGGTGAGAAATGTAGCTGCTACTAGTAATCATTAGCAGGTTAAACGTTTTTGATTACTTACACAAAACTGTAATTTAAGATAAGACTGCCCAACTCTGATTCAAACATTATTCTAACCTCCTTCAATGTAAATGGGCTTACCTATTACCTATAATGATAGAATGAAATAATAAATGTAATAACATGTAATAAAATTAATAATAGAGTAAATAATGGAAATTTAATTATAATAGTAATAACAATAATAAAGTAATAAATTTGGCTCGATTCCTTTGTTGGTGGAGTTCAGAATGCTCTTTGATTATAGGTTAGCAACTAATAATAATAATAATAATAATAATAATCTTTATTTGTACCCCGCTACCATCTCCCAAGTGACTCGGTGCGGCTTACATGAGGCCGAGCCCACAATACAACAATAAACAGTAACAGCAATAATACAAAAACAATACATAAACTCATATAAGCAAAATAATCAATAAACATTAACAATAACACGATGCGTTTAAAAAACCTAAATAATAATAAATGCAATAAATATAATAATACAGTAAAATAATGTAAATGTAATAATAATAAAGTAAAATAATAAACATAATAAAAGTAATAATAGAGTAAAATAATGTAAATGTAATAATAATAATAATAATAATAATAATAATAATAAAGTAAAATAATAAATGTAATAAAAATAGTACTAATAGCAGAGTAAAATAATAAATAACCTTGACCCGAGTATAAGCCGAAGGGATTTTTTTCAGCCTAAAAAAGGGGCTGAAAAACTAGGCTTATACTTGAGTACATACAGTAACTATGCAGGTGAATTTCTTCTACAGGCTTTAACTATCCAAACAGTCAGAACAAAAACATCATCAACCACAATTTATTTATTTACTAGCTTAAATTAAATTATTGGAAAAGGGTGTTTGTTGGCTGGGTTCAATTCTTTCTGGAGAGGGGTGAACTACAAACCCCCGCAATATGTTCTGTTTGTCATGGGGAGTTTGTGTGCCAAGTTTGGTCCAGGTCTGTCATTCGTGGGGGTTCACAGTGGTCTGTGGGAGGCAAATCAGGTGATGGTACTACAAATCCCATCATCCATGGTCCATCCTCCTCCCAAACCACACCAGGTTGAATAATGGATTACAGAAGGTCTGTGTGCCAAGTTTGGTCCAGATCCGTCATTCCTGAGGGGCGCAGTAGTCTCTGGAAGTGAGTCAAGGTACTGCAAATCCCATTATCCATAGCAATTTTTGTGCATACATACATACACACACATACAATATACTATATTATTCCCTGGTTTTATTAAGGGTTTTTAACTGCTGCTACCCACCCAACGCTCTGGAAAAAACAAGGGGATTTAATCTGAAATTGAACTGCACACAAACAAACCACATTCCCCCCTTATGTCTGTTTGGGAGGAATCGAACCTAGAATTTTAGTTTCAACAACAGCGATGTGCCTGAATAAAAAGTTCTAAAGAAATCATCCCAAATGTAGCCCGGAGCATTCTGTCACATTTGCTTAATGAACAGGGTTCGGTTGCAGAAGACTTCAAAGGGAGCTGTCAACGTGCAAAGAACTTAAATCGTAGACACAAGCTAGCATGGAAATCGTGGCAGGCTTTCAGATAAAAGGCCCCTCTTCCCTGCTTCTGCGCCTCCCTCTACATTTGCTTCAGGCTTCTCAACTTATCCTAGTTTATATCCTTATCTAGAAACCAGGGGAGAGCGAGACAGGTGTGAGGGGTGGAGGGGATTTCTTTTTTCAGGGGAGTGTTGGCAGGTAAAGGGACCTAAATACCCCAAAGGCAGCAGATCCTGTCTGATCTTGGAAACGAAGCAGACTCAGCTCTAGATGGGAAAGCGTCAAAAATACTAAGGTTGTATTTCACCTGCAAAAACAGTATTCCTTGCCTAGGAAAATCCTATGAAACTGATTACCGTATATACTCAAGTATAAGCCGACCCGAATATAAGCTATGGCACCTCATTATACTACAAAAAACTGGGAAAACATATTAACTCAAGTATAAGCCAATGGTGGGAAATGCAGCTGCTACGGATAAATTTAAAAATAAAAATAGATACCAATAAAATTATATTAATTGTATTGAAGGTTAAATGATTTTGAATATTTACATAAAACTGTAATTTAAGAAAAGACTGTCCAAATCTGATTAAACCATTATTCTAACCTTGTTCAATGTAAATGTGCTAATTTATCCTTCCAATAATAATAGAGTAAAATAATAAATGTAATAATAACAATAAAGAGCAAAACAATAAATGTAATAATAACAGTAAAGAGTAAAATAATAAATAGAGTAAAATAACTTAAATGTAATAATAATAGAATAAAATAATAAATGTAATAACAATAGAATAAAATAATACATGTAATAACAATAATAGAATAAAATAATAAATGTAATAACAATAGAATAAAATAATAAATGTAATAACGATAATAAATAGCAAAAATAAATGTAATAATAATAGAGTAAAATAATAAATGTAATAATCATATTAAATAGAGAAAAATAAAAATAATAACAGAGTAAAATAATGTAAATGTAATAATAATAATAATAATATTAGAGTAAAATAATAAATGTAATAATAACAATAAAGAGTAAAATTATAATGGTAATAATAGTAATAGAATAAACTATTGTAAATGTAATAACAACAATAGAATAAAATAATACATGTAATAATAGAATAAAATAAATGTAATAACAATAATAAATAACAAAAAGAAATGTAGTAATAGAATAAAATAATAAATGTAACAATAATAAATCGCAAAAATAAATGTAATAATAATAGAGTAAAATAATAAATGTAATAATCATATTAAATAGAGAAAAATAAATATAATAAAAATAATAACAGAGTAAAATAATGTAAATGTAATAATAATAATAATAATAATAATAATAATAGAGTAAAAGAATAGATGTAATAATAATAAAGAGTAAAATTATAAAGGTAATAATAATAATAGAATAACCTAATGTAAATGTAATAACAACAATAGAATAAAATAATACATGTAATAACAATAATAAAATAAAATAATAAATGCAATAACAGAATAAAATAAATGTAATAACAATAATAAATAACAAAAATAAATGTAGTAATAGAATAAAATAATAAATGCCACAATAATAAATAGCAAAAATAAATGTAATAATAATAATAGAGTAAAATAATAAATGTAATAATAATAATAAATAGAGAAAAATAAATGTAATAAAATAATAGAATAAAATAATGTAAAAGTAATAATAATATTACAGTAAAATAATGAATGCAATACAAATCAGAATAATAACAGAGTAAAATAATAAATAACTTTTACTTGAGTATAAGCCAAGGAGGACTTTTCCAGCCTAGAAAAAGGGCTGAAAAACTCAGCTTATACTCAAGTATATATGGTACATCCAATTCTATATCTGGAAGGGTATATGAAGCAGTACCCGTTTTTCCTCAGGAGGAAGTTTGCTCCATTCGTTCCCCAGCATCCTGGTGATTTCGGGGAATGGGACCTCGGGCCTCTTGGCTCGCAACTGCTCCCTCCGTTCGTTCATAAACCGTACATAGCCAGTGAGGGGAGATTTAGGAGCATTGCTATCTCTTAAGGGTTTCTTCCTCTTCCGGCCTTTGGACCAACCTCCTCTCTTGGTTCTCTGCTGTAAGAGGAGAGAAAGAAAAAGGTTCTGGTTAAGTTATCATTTCTTTGAAAACCACCATATATATTCATTTATAAGCCAAAGGCAGGCTTTGGGACAAACATTATGGGTTCTTACATGGCAAGTGGATACATCAAGGGTCATTCTGAAAGCAACCATGTTGACTCTGACCACTTCCAGAGAAAGTAAAGAATCTGTGTTTCTTTTAGGCTGTTTCAGGATGGATTATGTTCTGTTTTTTTTTTTTTTTTGCCATTCAGAGCTGATGGTTTTGTTTTGTTTTGTTTTGTTTCTATGCTTTGAATGCCATTTTTCTGCTTCTTTGCAAAGGGTTGGACTGGATGGCCCATGAAGTCTCTTCCAACTCTAAAAAAAAATTCTGACAAAATGCCTTTGCAGAAAGACACAAGAGATTGTGTAATAAATGGCCATTGGTTGTCCTCTCTCCACAATCAAAATCGGTAATTTACTTATGCTCTGACCAATGAGAAGTTTGGTTGCATGCTGCGAGTTGCTTCTGGTGTGAGAGAATATCAAGCAAAAAGTGGGTGCTAGGAATAATATCGTGCAAAAGCTGATTGGCACAACCTAGGGATCACAACCAGACACAGTGAAGACATCTGACTTTGCGCTTTGCTACTCTACTGTATATGCATGCCCAGTGTGGAATACATTGCATTATGTTAAAACAGTAGAGGTGTCTCTTAATGATCATGCCGCACTATTACAGGATGTCTACGCCCCACACTACTGGAGAAATTACACTGTTTAGATGGTATTGAACCACCTGACATCTGCCAGGAAGTAGCAGCCAGCAATGAAAGAACCAAGGACATCTCTGGCCCATCTTCTGTTCAAATATCAGTCAGTATACCAATTCTTCAAATGAAGAAATAGCTTCTTAAGATCTACAGAGATACTGGCAGGAACACCTCAGCAAACGAGAATCCAAAAGTGGCAGGCTAAAACCCGGAACCTCAATCAGTGGCTGATACCAGATGAGAAATTCCCTCCTGGGCACACAGAAAACTGGGCGACTTGGAAGGCGCTGAACATATATATGGTTCTCTGGCCCCACGAGATGCAGAGCTAACCTTACGAAATGGGAGTACAAAGTGGAACCCACAACATGTGAGTGTGGAGAAGAGCAAACCACAGATCACCTACTAACAGATTGGAGAGATGGGCCTAAACTAACAAAATGAAGTTCAACAGACACAAATGCAAGATACTCCACTTCAGCAGGAAAAACAAAATGCAAAGATACAGAGCAGTACGTGTGAAAAAGATCGAGAGCAGTACGTGTGAAAAAGATCTTGGAGTCCTCATGGACAGGAAGTTAGACATGAGCCAACAATGTGATGCTGCAGCAAAAAAAAAAAAAAAAAGCCAATGGGATTTTGGCCTGCATCAATAGGAACATAGTGTCTAGATCAAGGGAAGTCATGCTCCCCATGCTCCGCCTTGGTCAGACCACACCTGGAATATTGTGTCCAATTCTGGGCACCACAATTCAAGAGAGATATTGACAAGCTGGAATGTATTCAGAGGAGGGTGACTAAAATGATCAAGGGTCTGGAGAACAAGCCCTATGAGGAGCGGCTTAAGGAGCTGGGCATGTTTAGCCTGAAGAAGAGAAAGCTGAGAGGAGACATGATAGCCATGTATAAATATGTGAGAAGAAGCCACAGGGAGGAGGGAGCAAGCTTGTTTTCTGCTGCCCTGGAGACTAGGATGCAATGGAGCAGTGGCTTCAAATGACAAGAAAGGAGATTCCATCTGAACATGAGGAAGAACTTTCTGACTGTGAGAGCCGTTCAGCAGTGGAACTCTCTGCCCCGGAGTATGGTGGAGGCTCCATCTTTGGAAGCTTTTAAACAGAGGCTGGATGGCCATCTGCCAGGGGTGCTTTGAATGCTATTTTCCTGCTTCTTGGCAGAATGGGGTTGGACTGGATGGCTCATGAGGTCTCTTCCAACTCTATGATTCTATTATTGTACTACAATGCAACCTGAGCCCTGCCACATGCACAATGGAAGACCTTCTGACACTGACACCAGATGCAAGTGGCTAGCTTCTGGTCCAAGGACATTTAGCATCATGCCATTTTTAAAAAACGTTGTGTCTTTTAAATGCATTATAACTGTACCCTCAACTCGTTTCTGACACAATTAATAAAGAGAAATAAGAAGTGACAGAGAGACAAAGAAGGAATGAAACCTCAGATTTTCTACTTCCAAATGATATGAATGAATCGAGAGGAAGTGAAGTTAGATTTCCGCCTCTACTCTTTGCTCACCTCCTCCTCCGGCCTCGGCTCACTATTTTCAGCTTTACTGGATGACTCATTCCGCAGCAGTTGAGCTTGTACCAAGTCCTCTGCGAAATCTGGATTGTTGGTAGATTGGGAGGCATTGCTACTGCAGAGTCCTTCCGAGTGATTCAACCTGAGGGGGAGAAAATCGGCAAAATGGTCCCACTGTCGTCAGGCCAGTGTCATCTAGTTTGCTCCTAGAGATTGTGCAATATTATAAATAGCTTCGTAATGGGTACTGTGCCATTAGACAAATAAAACTAATCTGAATCTATTGGGAGATATATTTAGGAACATCGGCTAAGGCAATTATTTTAGGAAGCCCAACAATGAACCAAGCATGCGTGAGCCAGATTAGCACAGTTACGTACCCAGGTGGGACAGCATCATTGCTCTCCTTTGAGCCGTCATCTTCTGGAAAATGGGAAGGGGGAGATGATGTGCCCATTGGGTTCTCCATTATTGCTCCTAGAGAAACAATAGAAGCTAAATGCATTAGTGCTTTTTTCTTCTTCCGCTTTATAGTCTTGTTCTGTAGCAGCATATAGGAGAGATATTATCAAGAGAGATCCTTTCTAGAGAAAGAAAAGTACGGTTTTATTTCCAGCTGGGACCCTGGAGAGGAGTTGTGTCCAAAAGCAACCAAGGGTGAGGATAAAGGTGTTTTCTGTGCCTTTTATACCTCTACAAATGCAGGCAAATAAAGAAACATGCTTCTACATACATTGACATAATAATAACAATAATAATAATAATAATAATAATAATAATAAACCTTTATTTGTACCCCGCTATCATCTTCCAAAGGACTCGGTGTGGCTTACAAGAGGTCGAGCCTAAATACAACAATAAAAACAGCAGCAGCAACAACAACACAATAATTCAAAAAACAAAGCAATAACAACACCCAATGACACAATTAAAAACAATGGCCGGGCCAAATGTAATAATTAAAATTAAAAAGTGCTGGGCATGACAAGATGGGGTGTTTGGAAGGGGATGGGCATGCAAATATCCTGGATCTCTGATAAAGTGCATTGACATCATTCACTATGTCACTTTAGCATGATAGAAATATCAAATTCTATCTTCCAACATACAAGAGGCATGTCTCAGTATTTTTTCTAGGAGCAATTTACAGCTTACATCCATCAATCAAGGGGCCTACTTTGACCTGTCAGGAGGGAGGAGGATAGGCTCCTTACTTAGAAGTTAGAGGCTATATTGTACCAGTCTCTGTAGAATCTATATAAATAAAAATGTAATGTTTGTTTGTGGGATTAACAGAACTCAAAAACCACTGGGGGAATTGACACCAAATTTGGACACAAGACACCTAACAATGTATGTCCTTCACTCATAAAAACACTGAAAAACACAGTGGAACGGACTTAAAAAGACCCAAAAAGCTAAACGACAAAAAGCTAAATGACAATGCAGAAAAAAGGGAAGAAAGAGGGAGGGAAGGGGAGAAAAGAAAGAGAGAGAGAGAAAGAAAAGAAAGAGGGAGGGAAAGAAAGAAGGAAAGGGAGAAGGAAGCATGGAAGCAAAGAGAGAAGGAAGGAAGGAAAGAGGTAGAGAAGGAAGAAAGGAGAGAAAGAGGGAGGGAAAGAAAAAGGGGGAAGGAAGGAAAGTTAGAGAAGGAAGGAAGGAGAGAAGGAAAGAAAAAAGGGAAAGAAGGAAGGAAAGAGGGAGGGAAAAGAAAGAAGGAAAGAGAGAAGGAAGGAAGGAAAGAGGTAGAGAAGGAAGAAAGGAGAGAAAGAGGGAGGGAAAGAAAAAGGGGGAAGGAAGGAAAGTTAGAGAAGGAAGGAAGGAGAGAAGGAAAGAAAAAAGGGAAAGAAGGAAGGAAAGAGGGAGGGAAAGAAAGAAGGAAAGAGAGAAGGAAGAAAAGAGAGACAGCAGAAGAGAAAGAAAAGGGGGGAAGGAAGGAAAGAGATAGAGAAGGAAGAAGAGAAGGAAAGGCGGGAAGGAAGAAGAGAAGGAAAGACGGGAGGGAGGGAGGGAGGGAGGGAGGGAAGGAAGGAAGGAGAAGAGAAAGAGGAAAGGTTGGCCACAGCAAAGCGTGGCGGGTACAGCTAGTGTATAGATAACAGGTCCCACTGTTCTCCCCCTTTCGACATTCCTTCTCTGTTCTGCTGGGTTTCTTAAACAGAGAGAACTTGATTTTTCTATACATTTCAGTTCTTGTAAAGTACATACAATATATGCATAAATAAATATCTATTTTTCCAATATTTCCCCATCCGTTCCGAAGTTAAACATCTCCAACCAAAACATCACTTACTGCCAAGGATATAAATCTAGATTTAAGGCCCAATCTGTAGATTGCTCAACTCCAATTCACTTCAATTGGCTATGGATGACATTCTGAAACGAGCCCCACTGAAATCATCCAAAACTAGGCACTCTTCATCTGTAGTGCGTCGTACAAGTGAAGAGAATGCACTCACGCTGTAACTACTTTAGTGTTCAATAAAGAAATCCCACAAACCATTACAACCTGTAGACATTACCCCGTCTGTTAGCAACTTATTCACATTTTCAGGAGTGATCATAGATCATGCCCTACTAAGTGCAACCAATTTACAACGCTTGTCTTTTCTAGACTGCACTACACCAAACACAAATCCAAGTCAGCACTACACTCCATAAAAACATCTAAAGGCTTACAACATAGTACTGCAAAGTGTGCTATCACTTTTCCTTCACTTCGCTCCATATATAATAGTGAAAGTCATCCTAGGACTCTCCATATGTTGGCTAAGGATGATGAGAGATGGTGTGCACCCATTTTTGAAGGCTCATATTTATTTATTTATCGTGTCATCAGCAACCATACCATTGTATTACAATTCTAACAGAGCAAAACAAACACACAGATTAAAAAGAAAAAGAAAAGAAAACACACAGATTTTGCAAATTTGGTAGTTGGTTAAATGTCCTTTGACCAGTATCTGGCCACTTGGAGTGCCTCTGGTGTTGCCGCAAGAAGGACCTCCATTGTGCATGTGGCAGGGCTCAGGGTGCATTGCAGCAGGTGGTCTGTGGTTTGTTCTCCGCACTCGCATGCCGAGGATTCCACCCTGTAGCCCCATTGCTTAAGATTGGCTCTGCATCTCGTGGTGCCAGAGCGCAGTCTGTTCAGCGCCTTCCAAGTCGCCCAGTCTTCTGTGTGCCCAGGGGGGAGTCTCTCATCTGGTATCACCCATGGATTGAGGTGCTGGGTTTGAGCCTGCCACTTTTGGACTCTCGCTTGCTGGGGTGTTCCAGCGAGTGTCTCTGTAGATCTAAGAAAACTATGTCTTGATTTAAGTGGTTGACGTGCTGGCTGATACCCAAACAGGGGATGAGCTGGAGATGTCACTGCCTTGGTCTTTCACTATTGGCTGCTACTTCCCGGCGGATGTCAGGTGGTGCAATACCGGCTAAGCAGTGTAATTTCTCCAGTGGTGTGGGCGCAGACACCCTGTGATAATGCGGCATGTCTCATTAAGAGCTACATCTACTGTTTTTGTGTGGTGAGATGTGTTCCACACTGGGCATGCATACTCAGCAGCAAGGGCAGATGTCTTCACCGTGTCTGGTTGTGATCCCCAGGTTGTGCCAGTCATATGCCTTCTGTTGTAATTGATTGTGTCTAATGTCACATGAGGAAGTGGATCGTGGAGAAGCTGGTCAAAGGACATTTAATAGAACACCAAGTCTGCAAACTTTGTGTTTTGTTTGTTTTTTAATGCAATACAACACGATAAATAAATAAATAAATAAATGAAGAATGCTGGGAACTGCAGTTCACCAACATATAGAAGGGTACCATCCAATACAAAATGAGTGGTCCGAGTAAGGGGGGAAATTATGCAAGGCTCATAGGGTGGTGCGGGGTTGCTCTAGCATGATGTATTTACAGTTCACCCCTGCATCCATCAAATTGACTCTGCAAAGGCATAATTCCCTGAATACAAATTCAGCCCTCACTCTACTTAGCAGCATCCTTCGAATTGTACATAGCAGATCAGCACTTTTTTCCCCCTTTAAGGGATCCGATTTGCTCCAACTACATTGGTACCAAAACCACTTGCAGATTTATATCCTTTGGCTATCGAGGAATGTTTTCAAAGACATAAGAGGGCAACAAAAGGAAGAGGAAAATAATAATTGAATAATTCACAGGAAATGCAAGTAAAGCTTGCGAAAAAAGAGTCAGATGGGATTTTACTGCTATGGTGACATTTGCTTTACTGAAACTACAGATACTGTTCATTTCAGGTAAAAATCACTGCCAGTGCCTCCTCGACAAGCTGCACAGAGATGAAAGGGGAGACTTGCAAGCACGTTCCCATGCATGTGCTTTTCCTGTTGGCTTGCGAGATTTATTTATGTACTGTATTTATGTACTGCAAGAAAATATATTTCACTGCCCTTAACCTGTTCAAATCTCATATATATATGAGATAAGGAACTATTTTAAACAAGCAATGCATGGAAGTAGAAGAAGACAACAGAATAGGAAGGACAAGAGACCTCTTCCAAAAAATTAGAAACATTGGATGTAAATTTCAGGCAAAAATTGGCATGATAAAAAAGCAGAGACCTAACAGAATCTGAAGAGATCAAGAGAAGGTGGTGAGACTATACAGAAGATCTGCATAGGAAGGATAATAATATCAAGGATATTTTTGACGGTGTGGTGAGTGAATTAGAACCAGACATCCTGAGTAGTGAGGTTGAATGGGCCTTAAGAAGCATTGCTAACAACAACGCAGTGGGAGATGACGGGATCCCAGCTGAACTGTTCAAAATCTTTCCATATTTGCTGGTATATGGCATGCATCACCTTGACAGGAGTCAAGGTGATGCATGCCATATACCAGCAAATATGGAAAGCACAAGAATGGCCAGAAGACTGCAAAAAAATCAAGTTATATTCCCAGCAAGACGTGGAGCGAGAGTTGCCAGATGGACAAGCTGGGTTTAGAAAAGGCAGAGGAACGAGAGACCCAATGGCCAATATCTGGATGCTGGATGATGGAGAAAGATCCGCATAGTTAAAGCAATGGAATTCCCTGTAGTCACCTACGGATATGAGAGCTGGACCAGAAGGAAGGTTGAGTGAAGGAAGAGAAACGCTTTTGAACTGTGGTGCTGGAGGAAAGTTCTGAGAGTGCCTTGGACCGCGAGGAGATCTAACCAGTCCATACTTCAGGAAAAAAAAGCCCGACTGCTCATTGGAGGGAAGGAGATTAGAGGCCAAGATGAAGCACTTTGGAGTACAAAGTTGAAGTACTCCAAGGAAAGCTTGGAGAAGACAATGATGCTGGGGGAAATGGAAGGAAAAAGGAAGAGGGGCCGACCAAGGGCAGGCAAGATGGATGGATGGCATCCTTGAAGTGACTGGCTTGACTCTGAAGGAGCTGGGGGTGTTGACGGCCAACAGGGAGCTCTGGCGTGGGCTAGTCCATGTGGTCACG